TATCATTGCATTCAAATTTAATCCCATCCATTACAGTAACCTAATGTACAGCAGAGCGACATCCACGACTTACCCGCTTTTTATCTATTAATGTTGAATATTATGCTGCGTATTATACCTTTAATTCGTATGTAGTAACTAAAACATATTTTAACTCAATAAACATCAGTATTCAATATGTATTCGGTACCATATCATTATGAATTCACTCTTACGGTATTCATTGGAAACAATAATCATAATTTATTGATTTTTGGACTAATGACTGTTGAATTGACCATATAGACCTATAAAAATCACTGTTTATTTTTAACCAACAGTAATTATCAATTCAGTATTAACATACTCAAAAAATTGATTTACTTTTTTTTTTACATTGCAAAACGATGACTGGGGGTGGCACTGAAGTTAGTGATAAATAAATTATAATTTATAAATAAATTGATTTACTTATAGATCTTCAGATCTTGAAGTTTATATTATGTGAAATTGTGAAGGCGAGYGCCGAACAGCACACTACTACACTATACTCCGTACCAAATAAGGCGCACCGGGCGGCCACAGGCAAAACCGGTTTTGTTACGTAAATTTAGTGCGCACTGCGCTTATTTGGTACAAGGTATAGACATTTTATCTATTCTGTGGTATAGATGTGGCATCACAGACATCACACATCACACTATAGTCCACTATATGTATACTGTATAGTGATACTGTGATAGGTACAGCAGTAAACGCTAGACTCTATAAAAAAATAGTATTTATTGCTATACTTCTGTGGTTCTGTCTATCTGTCTTCTGTCTTATTCTGTTGTAATATATAGATAAAAACCTTGATAAAAATATTAAATATTTGTATAACTAATTGGATGTCTATACTCTATAATAGTGCATAAATAGAGAGTGTAGACACTGTAGACGTGTAGTTGTATAGTGTTAACAAGGCCTTAGCCATGATAAATATAAAATATAATATGAATAATAATTTATTATGGGCGTAAAATATTATATCTATCAAGTATGTACCATCTTTTTTTTAATAGTAGCAACATATTATATAAAATATACGAAATATAAATATAAAAAAATAAATATATTTCATATATTCTGTGGTAGCAGCTGATCGGTGATCGGTCAGTTGACGTAATTTTGGAGGGCGAATGTTCAACAGGTATGAATGTTTACTAACGAATGCCGATAACAACATTAATTGTTAATAGTTTATACTCTTTAATGAGTTTAATTTAATCTATACAAACACTAAAACACTAATTTGATTTATAATCAATTAGATTTCCGGGTAGCAAAAATGTTGCAATAGGGCAAATATTGTACGTGCCAAAAGCTAATTTTGTTGCGACAATCGCCAGGAAAACTTAGCCATAACTGAAAAAATTGTTTAAATAGTTTTTTGCGGTCCGAGTGAATGATAGCAATTAGAACAATAAATATGTCATCAACGAAAAGAATACTGCATGCCCTGATCATGGGTGCTCCAGGCTCTGGAAAAGGAACTGTGTCAGAACGGATAGTCCAATCTTTTGACATGTTACACATATCTAGTGGTGACATACTGCGAAACATGATACGAGAGAAGACTGAATTAGGTATTCAAGTCAACAAGTAAGCCATTCAGTCTTACTCAGTGGCGTGGCGAACTTTATTAAGTAATGAGGCACAGTAATATTGCCTCACCCACCCCACCCTTCACAAAAAACATTAAAATTTTTTTTTTAGGTAAAATATATTTATTCATTTAAATAATAATGCTTTTTTTAACACATCAGATGATCTTTGAGGACACCCACCACCCCTTAAACTGAGGCACGTGCCTCAAATATAGTCATTCGTCACGCCACTGGTCTTACTGTATGGGTAGGTCGTTGATATTTATGTATAATAGGTGATGAGAAGTACTTTACATGCTAATTATTTATCTATACAATAATTCTCACCTAATATAATTAGGAGCTATAGCACAACTACTTGGGTATATTATAGCTACAATTTTGTTAAAGCATGCATAAATCATTTTTAATTCCTATACTTATATTTTTATGGGCACTTATTTGTTATAATCTTCAACTACATTATTTGCTGGTTCTTTAAATAATTGGTATTATATTTAGATATGAAATATGGATATGTCTGACAGATATAAATGGATTGGATTTAAAAGTTTATTTGAGATAGTAATAGTGTAATAACGGAGGTCGGAGAGTCAATACTGCCATTAACTGTTTGCCAAAGAAAAGTTAAATTAGTATAACATATTAAAATTTATGTTGTGAAAAGCTGACACTCTCCCTACAACTGTTATACCCATACATTTATCATGAGCTATGGCTTAGATTTGCTATACTGTTGGTGTTTACTATTACCCAGATTTGTGTCCACCGGGCAACTTGTGCCTGATGAACTCATGTTGAAAACAATTGGCGGCGAGTTGAATCGTTTGTCGTCAACTGATCGCAGCTGGCTGCTGGATGGCTTCCCAAGAACCAAACCACAGGCACTGAATTTATTCAAAATAGCACCTGTCCAAGTTGTAATTAGCCTTGACGTTCCCTTTGATATCATCATCAATAGAATTAAAGGTCAGTGACTTGTTGACATTTCAACTATTCAATTAATATTTTTCAATGGATATTTATCTATATACAGGTAGATGGATACATGCACCAAGTGGACGAGTATACAACACGGATTTTAATGCTCCAAAAGTACCTGGCTATGATGATGAAACTGGTGAACCATTAATGCAACGTGATGATGATAAACCGGAATCTGTTAAGAAACGTTTAGAAATATACTCAGAGATGGCTGGTCCGATTTTAGAATATTATGCTGAGCAAAATGTTTTAGTAAAATTCTCTGGACAAACTACTAATGAAATTTGGCCTCAAGTTTACAAATACTTGTCTACTAGGATTGAACCAAAAGAAAAACGTGCATAAGACTTGTAAATAATAGATATTACATCTCCCAATGTCTAAATTGTTGTAAGGTATAATTTGATAATCAAAAACTGATTTTATATAGGTATCTTTTTTTTTTATTATTATTGTTGTTATATGGTTATATATATATACTTGTCTGTTGCTATTCAAAGGATTAAAAATTATTTTTTTTTGGGGGATTAATAATTTTGTTTTTATTTAAAATCGATTAACTAAAATTTTTTCATTAAGAAATTATTGATAAGTACCACTCAGTAATTCAGTATCAAGAATAATAACTAGAATTTTTCATGATTATCATATAGCAATAATTGGGCAAGTGATACAAACTAATAGAGCCATACCATTCCATCCAATAACATCTACTCTCTTTGAACTTTTAAAGATAATTTACGTTGTTTGTTAGCCGTTATGCATTAGTCTGTTATACCAAAATTTTTAAATATCAATCCAATTTATTACATTTTTAAGGTTAAAACATTGATGGAATTACAGTATTACTATTGACATTGATATTACAGTATAAAGTTTATTATTTAAAATGTATTCTTGCAACAAATATGGTCCAATCCACACAATTGCAATGTAGATCTTACAATCTTAATAGCAAAAATTAATTATTCCATTTCCATGAAATATAATTTTTAAGAAATTTATAATCAGTCAGTTACTATAAAACTACGGAACTATTTAATTCAAAACTAAATAGAAATAAAATTATAATAAGAAAATTATTATCTATATTATTAAAAATCAATAGGGATGCATGTGAAATTGGAGTTTCGAAATCTCGCTTCTCAACGATCAGATTTCGTAAAAACAACAAAAGTCCGCGACCAAATAAATTTGAACATAATCTCATAGGTTAGTTAATAATTATTATTTTTCCTTAATCCATCCATAAACTTTTCAATATTATGTTCTAGTATTGACTATATACGTATAATCTGCAATTGTAATATATTGTATTTTGGGTTGCATTTCATTATATTTCAGGGGCACTATACTATTGCATTGAAATACCATAATATACATTATTCTATGTTTAGTTCTACGATTAAAATCGTATAATACATTATATAATATAGAAAATTGCACTTTTGTTGTGTGTAATAATTAACTATTTTTAAAGTATATAAAACAAATTCTATTGGTATCATACCATCTGTTCGTCTTTACCGAAAGGCACAAGGACGAAAACTCGAAATTATTGTTTAAGAATACAGAGTAGGTAAGAAGAAAGTTGGTGACTGGTGAAGTATAGTTATAACTTATAACTTACCAGAATACTCAAATTTCAACAACTAGTTTTAGTTCATTTAAACTTGTTTATTAAGAATTAAGCCTATTATAATGGGTTTGATAGTCAGAGGATATATGATGAGCTATGATAATTTGAAAATTGTACTATTCAATATAAATCTATCAAAATTTTTAATTTTTAAAAATTATCCAATTCTAATAAATAGGAACCTTATAGGTCTAATATTAAATGTATCAAGTTTTTTGTAAAACCATTTTTAGGACATTTTTCTAAGTATTAACATTTTAATAATTAAGAAACTACTACCTAGCCTAATACTGGCCTCCTCTACAAATTAAAACTTCTACTTCCTAGCCACTACTATTTGATCCTCAAATCCTACCTCGAAGATTGATTCTTTTCCGTACGAATATGTTCTTCTTTTTCTTCTCCTACCGAAATAAAAGCAGGTGTACCACAAGGTGCAGTAATTGCCCCAATGCTCTTTAATCTTTACATCTCAGACCAGCCCACTTCACCCCATACTCTAGTCGGCGACTTCGCTGACGACAAAGTCATATTAACAACCAGCTCAGACCCTGTCCTAGCTTCCTCTTACATACAAGATTATCTCAACGCTCTTGAATCGTGGTACAAAACTTGGGGAGTAAAAATGAATGAAGCTAAATCTATCCACGGTACCTTCGCACTTCGCCACGACATATGCCCAACACTATTCCTCAATAACCAACCGCTCCCTTCTGCCCAGTGTGTACGATACCTCGGCATCCTTATTGATCGACGCCTCACCTGGAAACCTCACATAATTAGTAAAACCCGTACACTKAAMGACCGCTTMCGTCTCMTTCGTCCACTTCTAACATCTAAGCATATGAAACTCTCTAATAAACTCCTACTCAGGCCCATTTGGACTTATGGGATCCAACTATGGGGCGCTGCCAAAATCTCCAACATCAACCGCATTAAAAAATTCCTAAGATTAAAAACTCTACTTACAATTCTTTAAGCGCCATTCTTTGTTTCTAATCACACACTCCACTCCGACCTCAAAATTCCGTATGTCTCTGAATTAGCGAAAACACATTATAAACGTTTCAATAGCCGCCTAGCCCACCATAAAAATCCCTTAATCTCTGACCTATCATCTGCTTCTATCCTAGGTAACCCAACTAAAAGATTAAAAAGGCAGTGGTGTCGTGACCTGCTAGCCTAAGTGAATATACGTACAATAATAACCTAGCCTAAGAAAATCTCACTCATGTCATAGTACCTCCACTTTATTTAATAAAATTAAAATATTCACATATTAAGTATAACAATATAGTAMATACTAATAAGTACAATTAACAAGTAAATAATGGTTAATAAACCAAATGTTAATACATTWAATAATCAGTCTCTTTTGATTTCAATTTAATAAAAAWTAATAGTAATTATTAGACACAACAAAATAAAAATAAAAATAATAAATAGTTACAAAACAAAAACAGACTAACCAAAAGTCATTTCGTCATCAGATTCACACACAGCTTGTTTTTTTTTCGGGGCCATAAATATTAGCTGCAGTCATACAGCCCCGCATTTTTACATCAGGAGCAAACTTTAAACAACACCCTGATCGCCTTACTGTTTGGTCAGCTAATAAGATGCCATTTAAAGTGTCAGTAATTAGCCGATTCCTGGTTTTTGTTTTAAYYGAATTTACTTWGCTAAATTTCCTTTCGCAGTCTGCATTAGCATGTGGAATGGACATAGCTGATAATGCAAATTTAGGAAGAACTGAAAACATCTTTTCATCATTTTCATCTTTGTAATGATAAAGCTAAAACAAAAAACAAATATGCTCAAATAATTAACTGTATAATTACATAATTAACAATTTGTATATTACTTGATGCCAAAATTTATCTGGTTCAGCTGTTTTAGTTATTGGCAGACGTCCCCATTCATCATCTAACTTTTGAAGATCTGAATTGCTTAAATCTGCGCATCTAGGCAGTAATGTAACAAGTGGCATAAGTGATGGTGTGGTATCTCTTTCATTTTGTGAGAGCGCTCTTATTGGGTCAAGTACAGGGAGACTAGATAGAATCGGATTGTTGAAGTCATATCTAGCTTTTATTTCTTTACATGCTATCATTAAGAAATTCTGACATCTTTGTTGAAATAAAAGTCTTTTATTTAATCTAAGGTATAATAGTCGTATAGAGTATAGACACAGAATATATGAAAATATATATATATATTTCATATATTCTGTGATATAGATGAACCTATAGGTCATAGAGTAATATTATTACTAATTACTAATATATATTAGTAATATTAATATTTACTAATAATTAATATTATTACTCTATGCTATAGGTAGTCAGGTAGTGCTAAAAAGTAAAAATTTTTAAATATTATGTAAAGATTTTGTCATCAGTGATGTCTATATGTCGGCTGTAATTATTATTGAGATGATATTTTTTCACATTGGTATTACTGCTGGTTCACTGGTATAAAAATCGTGGTTAAAAATTATTATCATTTTTCTGACAACAACCCTGTATCCTCAAAAATTAAAAACCACAGACATCAGCGTCTGCAGCAGCACTGCAGCGCTGCAATGCTATAGTATAAATATAGTATAAATGCTATACTAAATTAATTCTGAAGTCTGTGTTAAAAACTCATTCAGTGCAACCAATTATATGACTTATAAAAGTGCCGCACTCATTTCAACTATTGTAATAATAAATAAAAGATAAGTGTCCGTGTGTGGTGTTACTTGATGTTGCTATACTGAATTTCTATTTTTGTTTACTGCTTATTATCAATTAATTTTATATTACCAAATTACTTTTACTTTTTACTTTTTTAGTTTTTAGTTTTTTATAATAGTTTTAACTATAAATTGTTCTAGTGTTTAAGTTATTTTTGCAGATTTTTAAATATATGCATATTTTACTGGATGTGTGCAATACTATGAAATTACATGCTGGATCGTTTATAAAATTATGTTTAGTTGATAATAAAGTTAAACCTTGTTGGTTATATAGCACTATAGCAGGACGTCGAGTAATATGATGGTTTCACGTTAACAGATTGCTTACATATCGATGTAATATTTTCAAATAATTAATGTTTAACCATGGAAATAACATTAACAGAAAAAGAAGAATTCATGCAGGAACATTTAGTTGTTTGGGTGAGTCAGTTATTTTGTCTTATCTTTAGTGTGTACTAGTTTACTTCTATCATTAATTTGTTCAAGTTATTTGTTACTCTATTTATGTACTTATTCGGTATTTTGTTCTCAATAACTTAAATTTCCACCATTGCTGTAGAATATTTTGATGAAAAACTAGTTTTATATTTGTTCAGGTTTAGGTTCATATTTATAGGGCCAATTTGTTCATACTAGTTACGTACTATGTTTTAGTGGCCTATTAGGGAATTCATATATTTTATGAATGTATCAATTGACTTCAACCTGTTATGCTTACAAAATTTAAGGTTACGTGAATAGTATCAATTAGATTAGTTAGGGCTGAGAACTTCAAGTATCTATTATAAAAATTACATAATATTCATGTTCTTAAAAAAACAAGAAATAGCTTTAAAAAAATGTATTACATTTTTTATTTAACAATTTTTTAGCTACAATCATGCTTAAACAAACCAGAAAAATTAAGTGTATATGAGAATTTAATTGATGGAACATTGATTTATGAAGTATTATTATTGATGTAAGTATAAAAATCATTATCAATCTATCATAACTGATATATAATAAATAAATTAGGTATTTACTATTTTGTTTTTATAGAGATCCTGAACCATTATATCATACCATTGTTCCTGGTCAAAATGATYCATCTATTAGGATTCAAAATATTAATTGTATTTTGAAAAATATTAAAATGTTATATGAAGTAAGTCATATAATTAAATGTTTGATACACAATGCACTACAATAGATCTTTAACTATAATTTATTTTAATTATTCCAGGAAGAACTGGGACAAGTTATATTGACAATGCCTGATTGTTTACGTTTAGGGCGAGAACCCTATTCAAAGCATAGTTTTGAAGATATGAAATTATTATTGTTATTATTGCTTGGTTGTGCAGTTCAATGTCCAAATAAAGAATCATTTATTGAACGCATAAAAACATTGCCTATTGAGTCACAACATGCACTTGTACATTATATAAAACAAGTAATACAATATTTTGACTTACAATACTATTTATTTATTTATTTATAAATATAAGTATAACAATAATTGTTGATTAATTTTATAGATAACAGAAAGTCAACAGATCGTTATTACTCAAGAGAATGCAGAGCAATTAACAACTGACCTTATGATCTCTCATATTCGGCAATTGGTTAAAGAACGTGATCAATACCTTCAGGTAGTTTTGATGAATAAGTTACAACTTAATAAAAACAATTTAGGTTTAAATCTTATGTGTAGGTATATTCTTAAAAATAATTGCTTGCTGATTAACAAACTGAAATCAGATTTTAGACATCTTTACTACGGGGATTCTTGATGTAGCATACAGGGTGATTTTATATGCATGCTCACCCCATCACCTCATTAATTGTATATTTATTAAAATTCTAATTTTGAAATTTTGAAATATATCTACCTAAATACCATATTTTAAAATTTCTGATATTTCTTGTATTGTTCAAAGAACATTGCAGTGATACAAACTTCTACTTTTTTTAATAAGAACCTTTCTTTTTTACTGATAATTATTTAGTGGATAGCTTTCTTCAAAATTTTGATGGGTAGTTTTTGAGTTATTTAAATGTTTATAACAAGATTAATACACTCATTCTTAAAAATAGTTTTATGAAAATATAAACTATAAGTCATATTAAATGTAGAATTTGTGAACATTTTAAATACTATTTTAGTGTAGACATTAAATTTTAAATTAAGATTGTTTAGTTGATTGTTAGTATAAATTATTGTTACAAATTTTTTATTTTTTTACATTATATGCTGCTAATGTGACTAGTACTAATTTTGAGTTAAAGTGATTTGAAATTTAACTAACATTTTTAACTTGGGAAACACTCTAAGTGTTTACCAACCCTGGCCTGGGTTACCAGCTCCTAGATGGATGACCACCCTGGTTTTTAGCAACGAATCCTGGTCACATATACAATACGTGTTACAAAACAACTATTCCCCTCTAYAAACACAAATGGCCATAGTTAGGCTTATATCAATTAGATTTATTTGTATATATATATATAAACTTATCTTCATTAACAAATTGTTCATTCGTAATATGTATTCGTCTTGATTATTATTTGAAATTTAAAAATATTATTATAATAATGATAAGTTAATAAATGATAGGGCATAGTAACAAACAAATTCGTATATGGTATCTACAACCATATGTTTTGATTTGTAATACACGTTTTTTAGATGTGGACTGAGTTAGAAGAAAAGCGTTTTTCCAACTCCAAATCTTTAGAAACTGGTGGCTTAACCATATCTATTAGTTCTAGTGGTGATAATCAAAATTATGCCCTTGAACTTGCTGATTGGAAAGCAAAGCTTCGAAAACTTAGACATGAATTGTAAATATTTTTAAAATATCAAGCAATTATAAACAAAAATTAATATTATGTTTTACTCTCTTTTAGAGAAGAAAAAACTGAAGCATTAGCTGAAGCTAAAGAAGAACTCGAACAAACTAATCTTACGGCAGTTAAATTAAAAGAAGAGGTACATTACTATTAAGTTAAACAAATGTAATTAATTAGTTTTTATGATTGTGTGTTTCTATTGTTTCAGCTTCAACAAATCAAAGTAGATGCCAGATCAGCAAAAGCATATAGAGATGAAGTAGATGCTTTACGTGAAAAAGCATCCAACTGTGAACACCTAGAAATTGAGATAAAAAAATATAAAGAAAAATTAGGAGATTTAGATTATTATAAATCTAGAGAAGAAGAGCTCACTCAAAATAATTTACTTCTCCAGGAAACAAGAGAAACTCTTGAAGAACAACTTGTTAAGTTTCGAAGACGAGCTTCTCAATTACAAGAAATGGAATCACAATTGTTACATTTTAAACAAAATATTAATACCATGACATTAGAAAGAGATGCACACTTGAGAAAAATTGATGAACTTATCAATGAAAATGCACAGCTTGATCTACTTAATAAATCTTTTCAATGTAATGAAAGCTTTAACAAAGAAATTGATAATGACAGCTATTTTGATCATATTGGTAAGTATTATTCTATAAATATAAAAAAGCGGGAAAGTGTGGGTATCGCTCTGCTGTACATTAGGTGGTCAGGTGGACTTCTGACTAGGGTAGGTTAGATTTGAATGCAATGATAGGTATCATTGTATACGAAAAACGATTCTGAATGGAGATTATTTGTCAGTCTAGGATAATATATTATATTTAATATTTAAATATTGTCAAATATTCTATTTTGAAACAAATATCTTATTTTTCAATTAGGACACATTTTGCATAAGGCATGGTTAATCATTTTTTCCAAAAACATTGCATGTAGTTATCATAATTCATAATACCTTATACGAGTATTATTATAGATATATATAAACCTGATTTCATAAAAATTTAAAACTCAAACACTCAAAAYATTTTTCCTATAATGACRCTTCGAGTTTTCTCTATAGCTACTTGAAGAAAAACTTATGGAAAACTTAGTGTTGTATTTTCAATCCTTAGTTATGAACACAAAATTTTTTATGATTTTTCAACTTCAAAATAATTTGCAAATATTCATGGTTTTGACAAATTTTTGTCAATATTTGAACTTCAAATGCTTATAAAAAAAAATTGTGACTATGAATTTCTTTTATTTTTCAACTGCTATTTTAACAATATGTTAAGAGCCTTGTATTAAAKTTTCAAGATTTTCTACTCAAAAATAAATTTTTATCGATTTTAATTAAAAAAATACTAATAATGATCGAAAATTGCATATACATATGAATAGTTCTACTTAAGTCAAAATTTTTTGAATATTTCATGGTGGATAGAATATACTTGTATAAACGTTCGGTGAAAATTTCATGTATCAATGGTCATTTGTTTTAAATCTACATCAAAAATCAAAATCGATTTTGTCGAAAACTGATTGTGCGTAAAATCTCCCGTTTTCCATTAATTTTTAGTTTGTTTATCTCGATTATTTAGAAAAATATGTAC